TATATTTATGTTTGGTAATGTACTCGATGAATCATCTACCCTTCATCTTCTAGGATTAACTCTTATTTCTGATCTTATTTGGAAACCATATATCAAATTCGTTGCAAAAAACTAACATCTGCTAAAGTTGCATCTCTTTATCGAGGTTGACACTTTCTTACTCCGGATTCTATTCTCTATTTCTATAAATCATTTAATTAAGTCTCATCTTTTTTCTGTGACTGTTCCTAAGTTCTCCTAAAACTCTTGTTCCTCTAGTTTTTTTCCTCAAACATAATTTCTTCGGAATTCACTTCCTTCATCTTGCTTTCCTGATTCATATAATTTGCAATTTTTTAAGTTGTCTGTAAATCGTTATCTTGCTCTACTATCTTCATCTTTTCTCTTCCAGTAATTTCCAACACTAATTAGTGGTCGCTTGCAGCCTTGTTGGAAGCGAAGATGTTTAAAAAGTAAAAAATAAAAACAAGCATATAAAAAATTTTTTTGTTGAAAAAATTTTTATATGCTTATTTTTAAAATTGACAAAACCGGAATTTGACTTTATTTGTCAAATTCCGGTTTTGTCAATTTTACATGTTAAAGCTAATGCAACAACTCCTTTCAGTCCAAAGTACTTTAAAACTTGTACATCATTAGCACCATCATTAATGTAGCACTGCTGAGTATGTTCCTATTTCGATTGTAGACATAATAACAAATGTGTGCTTTGGTATACAAGACCATATAATTGAATTTAAAGCTTCATTAGCATTTTGTGTTGTACCATACAAGAAGATCATCTGCTCGAAGATCTTTGATGATTGGTAAATGAGGATTCTTAACCCAGATAGGTATACACGATATTGACTTGCAACTTTTATGATTGAGAGTTCAATATTTGCACCAACTTTTTAATTCTCTTGGGCAAAACTGATGTTGCATTTGAAGGTTTTAAAATTACTGAAATGAAATAAAAGAGCATAAACTGCTTTTTTCATAGCATACAAGTTGTTGACATTTTTATTAATCGCCATGTAGGTACAATAGTTTTGCATAGAATTTATACATTTTTCTGTTAGGTTACCTGTTAGGTTTAGGTGTTCACATTTTAACTGCAAAAAAATGTGCAAATCCTTTTCTATTGGAATCAACATTTGATAAGTTAATGGCTGAAAGCACTTATTGTATGCAGTTTTAGCTATCAGTTCTTTGAAAATTGAAAAGTTATTTAAAAAAATATATATCTCTTTCAGAGTCAAATGTATTCGAACAGTTTAACTTGATTTTTCTTTTACTAGAATAGCTACAAACTGTTTTATTTGTGCTAGATTTTTATTTGTAACAACACCATTCCATTTTCATTTTATTCTTCTTGATAAGTTTCTTTTACTTGTATTTCTTAGTTTATTCATTTAAAAGCAATTTTATTTCAACTGAATTAAAATCAATTTTAACATAACTTTATACAAAATGAGGAAAAAGTTTTAACATAAGAGACTAACACTACCAGTCAAAAAACACTCTGTCCTTAAATTATGTTTTTAAGTATGACTTTTAAAACAGAAAACTAACAGGAGTCTGCATTAAAACTGAATTCATAAAAACTCAAATGCTCGGTGGCTGCTAAAGCGTTGTTAGGAAATTTTTTATCTACTAAAATGCTGTTAGATTAACTTTTATATTATTTTTGAGACTAATTCTTTTATTATATGTTGGAGAAATGATTATAGAATACCAAATACCAAATATACCAAAATATCCTAAAATTATCCTAATAAAAATACCAAAAAATCCTAAAATTGATTTTTTTCAAAAAACTTACTTTTTTTTTATTGTGTACCACCTTAATGTAATAATAATTAAATTAATAACTAACAATCTCAAACAACTCTTTATGAAACCGTTAGTTATTATTATTTAGATTTCAATGTTATTTCGAGATAAAATAAAAAAATGGCGCACGCAATTAACAACTACCAAATAAATTATCTACGAAAAGTTAACCATAAAACTAAATATTTTTGAACGATACTAATTAAACAAGATTTTAATTTTAGTTTACAAGTGCATTGTAAAAAGACTCACTTCCGAATGTAATCAAGACGTCTTTTAAACGTTCCACGCTGACCAAAAAAAAGTTTTGATTCGAAAAAGGTATCGGACACTAAGGACGTAAACTGAACGTACATTGTACGTTTTTTGTACTTCCAGTGTTTGCTGGAACATAAAGGAGTTTTATTGAAAAACACTTTGAAAAAATGCAAACATAAGAAATATATTTTCGTATTTCATCCTTTTATTTCAAAATATGCTTTTTATGTTTATATGCCGTTAAGAAACTAAAAGTTGTAAAATTGTCTTATTGGCCTCGTATTTCTTTTTTATACAATTTTGAGCGGTATTTGAAAGGTAAAATATTGTTTTTTTCGTGGTAAAATTGATGTACTGAGTTCAAAATACATAATAGAGAAAAAGTTGTATTAGTTTCATAGTGCTGACTATCTCTAGATTAAAAAGAAATTTCTCTAATAAAGAAGTTGATTTTGAGGGGGTTTTCAAAGGTTGGGCGTAGCACGTTAATCCCTAGATTCTAGGTTAGAATCTAGGGGTTAACGAGAATTACACTTGTGATATACATATTTTATTGATACTTTTATGTAACTTTTATCATAACTATTAAGAACATTTAAGATAATAAACAATCTAAAGTTTGAATTAGCCAAGTTTACTTTGGTTAATATTCATCGTTAAAAAAAAAGAAACATTTATTATTATTTCTATGGTTTGGTTTTTTAAAAGTGTATTCACACTATACATATCACTGAAAGCAAGAATTAAAAATTAAATTTACTTTCCGGCTAGTTTATGCAATTTTTTTTCTGCGGGATTTCATTTCCAACGGGTACAGAATGTTCCTCGGAACATCATATGGACTTGTGACGTCCATAAGGCTTTGTATAACGTCTTACGGACGTTTTTGCCCGCTAGGTTAAAGTAAAATGGTTTGTTGATTTCTTAAAGTCAATGCTCTCAGCAAGCTCACATTCAATAAAAATAATGTCAATCCAAAAAGACACCATTTTTTCATTGTTGATCGCAGATAATATTTGATCTTTAGTCTAGTGAAACATCTCTCATCAAAAGCAGGATGTTAAGCAAAGATGTAAAAGGAAGCGTCAAGTCGATTTTGTAAAGTATAGACAAGTTAGGAAAATACGATATCATTTATTTCCCTAATCAAAATGGATTTCATTTGTAGTTCAGCCGTGATTGCTGAAGATATTGGTGCATACACATATGCGAATAAAGGGCCGGCACGAGTAGGTTTTAAGTTTGGCAGAAAAATTATTTTAACTCATAAAAACAAATCTAAATTGCTCCACAATTTTAAATCAGTTAATTTATAACATTTTGTATTTCGCTGTTAAAAAAAAAAGCTGTTTACCGTTTGCAAAGTCATTGTAGTTTTATGAACTTCTGTCACTTAGTTTTAATACACCGAACTATGTTGAAAATCCATTGACTGTGTATATTATGATTATAAGAGACATTTTTTTAAAAACAAAACGTCTCTGTTTTTTTTTCTGCGATAAAGGCGTGTAAATTTTTAAAGCCGATATGTAAACGATGGTTTGTTAAAACTACCACAATTCTGTTGAGAATATTATTTGGTAAATAAATGATTGTATATTCAAAATATAGATTTATTTGTTGTTCAAAGTAGATAAATATAAGCTTTATTCATTTTCAACAGTGTGAACAGTTATCATAGTTAATTTTCTTGTTTTTAATAAACTTCTTTTTACAAATAAACGCCCTTCCCCCACCTAATACACCACTCTTTTATTGATGTACTTAATGCACCACATGGTGTTTAATCTCGAGAATTATTTATTCTCGAGATTTATTCTCTGAAATTTTATGTTTCAGAGATGTATTACAGAGATATGGAACTGAAAGCACTTAATGAGTTAGCTTTACTTTTGGATTGAAAAACAAGATGGAATACAACGGAAATTATGATAAAACGGTTTTTAAGAATAAAGGGACGTCGTTAAAAAGGCTTTATCGGAACCAAACTTAAATCAAAATGTAGAGAGACCATCTCTAGTTTACGATGATAAAAGTTGGTGGCCAGTCCACTATAAAAGAAACGTTATCTCAGTCGAAACTATGAGTAAACCCAAAAACTGACAAACTCAATTTCCAATAAGCAACCTGCCATTTTCAATACGATTGTGACATTTGTCAATATAAAGTCAGTGAAATTACTAATGGTATTATTTACCCAAACAACTAGGCTTTAAACTTTCTTAACAGAAAACGAATTTACTTTGAGTTTAAATACAGTTATTATCCTTTTAAAGTAAAAAATTGCATAAAACTTAATTTCTATTAAAAAAAATAAATCAGAATAAAGCTCTGGCTATTTTTTTAACTCTCTGGACTTCGTAGTGCACCATTTATGTAGTTATTAGGCTTTAAAACTATATAAAAAATTGAAAGTAAATTTCTTTTTTGTTCAGGGTCTTGTTACAAAGTTTAGACTCAAGGTGACCCCTTAAATCCATTTACATTTTTGAAAAATTTTATCAATGGTTTTCTTTTAAGACCCAACATAGTACACTTTAAATTTTTTTTTTTTTTGCATTTTAGGATTTGTTGTAAAACTCGTACTTGAGATAGGCCCCTAAATTTTTTACACTTTTAAAAAATCTATTAGGTTTGCTAATTAGAATCAATCGAAAATTTAAAGAAAGGAAAAGATTTGGTTTTGAAAATAGAATTTTTGATGCAAGTCGTTCATTCAAGTCATTCATTTTTTAGTACGTTCATTTTTTTATCGTTTTCTCAAAATCAATTTATGTAGACTTAGCACGTTTTGCAAATGGGCTCATCAAATTTATTTTTCAAGTTTACATGAGCAATTAAATTACTAATAAAAAACAACAACAATAAAGATGAACTTTGAAGAGAATAAAAATTAATATGCACAGTATTAAAGAAAAAACATAAGATTAGAAATAAAAAATTGTTTTTTTATTTAATGCAAAAACAAATGAGTTTACATTATCTTGTTTTTAACAGCCAATGGTTTATTTTGTAGGACAATCAATCACAAATTAGGCAGTGGATTATATCGTAAAATATTTGCTTTCAATATAACACGGGGTTAACCAACATAAAACTTGCTGGCCTAAAAATACATATTACATATCGAATGATTTCTTTCATATAATTAAACTAAAATTAATTAACAATTTTATATAGAACAAATTGTTGGAAATTTTGCATAAAATATTCTAATAAAAAAATTACAGGTAAAAAATATTTCATATTTGCCTTGAATGTTACCTAAATAAAATGAATGTCTAAAAAAAAATATTTTTTTTAAACAAGTTAAAGATAATAACTCTATTTATGTAAGTGCTCTAAAAATTTTAAATCAGGACCATCAAATTTTTTTTTGGGGACCCGGGAGGGCTATATATATATATATATATATATATATATATATATATATATATATATATATATATATATATATATATATATATATATATTAGGGCTGTTCAGTATGCTAATTTGTTTTCAGAACATGGCTAATTGAAGTTTTTCCCATTCAACTATCATATTGTGGTTCAAAAATATTTTTCACTAAATTTTATTATTTGCCCTAAAGGTCCCTCAAAGCCCCCAAACATTTGACAGGTCCAAAAAAAATATTAAAAAAAATTATTTAAAAATATATCAACTTGGCACTCAAAAGAAGCAAAATTTTATAAAAATTTTAAAAAATTAGATTCATTTTTTATAAAAAACAACTTAAAAAAACTTAAAATTACTAAAAAAATTTTAAATATTACCTTTTTTCCATTTTTCGTTTAAAAAACATAGTTTTTATTCAAAAAAACCTAAACTTGTAATTTTTATAAAAAACGTTTTTTGTTTTTTAAAATTTTTAAATGATTTTGCTTCTTTTGAGTACAAGGTTGACATATTTTTAAATATTTTTTTTTTTAATATTAGGGACTCGTCAAATGTTTTGGGGCTTTGAGGGACCATTAGGGCAAATAATAAAATTTAGTAAAAAATATTTTTGAACCACAATATGATAAGTTGAATGGGAAAAACTTCAATTAGCTATGTTCTGAAAACAAATTAGCATACTGAACAGCCCGAATATATATATACAGTACTGGACCACTGGACTATATATAAGTCTGAGACCAAGGGTTGAAAAAGACTAAAAACTGATTTTAACCAAAAAATTTTATTCAATGAACAACCATGTCAAATTTTTCCAATATAATTCATATTAGTAATTCAACATAATTCAGAAAACAACAATTTATTGTCAGCATCACTGATGATGTGAGGAAAACTGATGAGTAATACAATTGTCATATATGTAGTATGTTGCACGCATAACTTTATATGAACCATGCACTATTCGGTTTTGCGTTGATATTTGCGTTAGTTTATTACTGCGTGATGGCAAATTATAGATTACGGAATAGTTTATAGCAGATAATAAACATGAAAGTGTCTTAGGATTGACGCATATTAGCACTGTTGTGGTATTATGTTGTTATATACATGCATTACATACATACATACTGTATTGCATATTTATATAGTTATTGTTTAATGAATCTGGCATTTGTTGTTTGTGCTTCAAATTCTCATTTTTGATTTTAGCATTAATTTTCTTTCACTGAAATGTGTGAGTTACAAATATCAGTTCGAGCACAGATCAGTGTTTTAAAAGAGGAGGGACACACCGAGAGAAGCATTGCTGAACGTTTGTCTGTTTCTAAAACTGCAGTTCATAACACAATAACTCCATTGCAGCAGACTGGCAGCTTAACTTCCCGAAAAAGATCTGGTATACCAAAATGTACCACTATGTAGACTGACCGCTTGATTCATCGCACTTGTACTAATTCTCCAATGTCATCATCCACAGTAATACAACACAACATGCCATCCTCTGTTACTGTTCAGAACTATCAGACGAAGACTATCCACTGATTTCAACCTGCATGCCCGGCGTCCTTCCTTTAAACCTAGGCATTCTGCCAAGAACATCAAGGATCATATTGCCTTTTGTCAAAAGCACAAAGACTGGACAGCGTTGGATTGGGCGCGAGTAATGTTTTCAGATGAAAGTCAAATAAGCAGTTTACTCCTCTTCATTCTTTTGTTTATAGACCTGTTAATCAGCGACTGAATCCCAAGTACACCAAATGCAATGTTAAACAGTGCCAATCAATCATGGTCTGGGCTTCAATTTCAACCAGAGGACAAGCAGGTATTTGGTTCATGCCTCCTAAAACAACCATTAATGCCAATGAATATCTGAAAATTTTGAAAAGCAATTTGCTTCAGTGGATGCCTCTTTCGGGTCGTACAATCTTCCAGCATGATGGTGCACCATGTCACCGGGCAAAGGTGATTACTAAATGGCTTGCTGAGAAAAATATTCAGGTACTTTCGCCTATATATATATATATATATATATATATATATATATATATATATATATATATATATATATATATATATATATATATATATATATATATATATATATATATATATATATATATATATATATATATATATATATATATATATATATATATATATATATACATATATATATATATATATATATATATATATATATATATACATATATATATATATATATATATATATATATATATATATATATATATATATATATATATATATATATATATATATATATATATTTATATATATATATATATATATATATATATATATATATATAGATATATATAAATATATATATATATGTATTAAGGTGTCCCAAAATTTTTTTTCTTTCGAAGATCAAAATGTGGAAAATATTGAGTTGAAAAGCAAGAAAAACGTGATGACAGTTGTGATACTTATTAGATGTTCTGCAGGTACTTCTATTAATTTCTTGGATACTTGCATGTTTTAATGGACAATCTAGAAAATAGTAAACTAAAAAAAGCATGTCATTTTATAAAATAATTAAATAATCCAAACTCTAAAATTCCAAGTATTTGAAACTAATAGTTTAGTTTATTAAAAAAAACTATAAAGAAGTACTTTAAAACAGTTTTACGGACATTATTGTATAGCATGCGCGTATATAAGGTGGGGGAAGAGGTTGTTATGTGTAAATTGTTAGGTGCAATTGACTTCCTTTTTTTGTTATTAAAAATGAGCATGATTTGTGTTTGCAATTCTATATTGCCTAATTTTTCAAAAATGACCCCCTCCTCCTAACATTTACACGCTACAGGTCTGTATGTTTAGTAATGACCTGAAGAGTATCTTCAGGTCATTACTAAACATACTAAGGTGTCCCAAAACATATTAAGGTGTCCCAAAATTTTTTTTTTTGATCTTTGAAAACAAAAAATTTTGGGACACCTTAATACATATATAATTATATATATATATATATATATATATATATATATATATATATATATATATATATATATATATATATATATATATATATATATATAGGCGAAAGTACCTGAAGTCTTTCCTCGTTATGTGTCTTTCCAATAAAGTCTTGGATCAGCTTTGTGACGTTCTGTTCGCTCATTTACCACTGCAAGCTGATTCGCACAAGCAGAAAACTTAACAAATAACTTAGGGGCTCTTTCACTTTCGTAAGCAGCTATACCTTTCTCCATCCACAGTAAAAGCTCTTCCTTAGTGAATTCTAGGAGAAAAAAGAGAAGATAACTTTGCTCAGTGACAAAGTCATTAAGACATGACATTGAAACAACAACTGGCTGAATTCCAGGTTTCTCAAGCACCATATGTTCTTTTTCTGGAACTGCAAAACACAGCAATTTGTTAACGATGTTGTTCTTGACGTTGGCATCTAGATCTTTGTCAGCAAGAAACAAAACCACAAGCTGGGGAGCTATCTAGCTCCCCAGCTTGGTTTTGGCACACTTTGTAATTATCAAGTGTGTCGTAGAAGACCTTTGTTGAGAACTTTTTTCATCTCTGCATAGGCTTTGTAACCATCTGACATTTGGAGCTGGTAAGCCTAAAAGCTCTTAGGTTATTTGAAGGTGCTTGAGCTGCCATAGAACTCTTCAGAAAGAATAGACCATGAAAAACAAAATGTAGTTTGTAGCAGTATTTATGTTAATGAGAGTAGCAGACACTACTGTTTTTGAATTATTTGAATGATAGTTTTGTGCCATCTGCAGGACAAGAAGGTAAAGACTCTCTTAAACCTGGCCTCATGGTGAGCTTCCGGCTGTTTAAAGAAGAAATTAGGTATATCTGCAACATAGATATATAAATTACTGGATACGGCATAGGCATACCAGACCATATAATTTTGGAAAATATTTTGAAGCAGAGCTACCGTTGAAAAAGTAAATATTGGTTTAGTAAAAGTAATATATGTTTTATAAAGCATATTACTGTTACAAAAACTTTATTAAAAGTAATATGTATTAATAAGTTCCAAGATTTATTAAATGAGCTTGTATAATTTTAGTCATTAAGTTATTAGGCTGATGACTTGAGCCTATTAACAAATTATCAGTATCACTTGAGTTAAAACACCTTAGGACTTGATAATAAACAGTTATTTAAAGTGAAGTTGTACTAGCAAATAAAATATACAGTCTAAATTTTAACGTTGTACTTTTATTGAATATTGATTTGGTTTCAAAAAAAATCGTATTTCAGAAGACTAATCATTTTTGTATACATCTTTATCTATGTATATTATATATATATATATATATATATATATATATATATATATATATATATATATATATATATATATATATATATATATATATATATATATATATATATATGTTTATATATATATATATATATATATATATATATATATGTTTATATATATATATATATGTTTATATATATATATGTTTATATATATATATATATGTTTATATATATATATATATATATATATATTATATATATATATATATATATATATATATATATATATATATATATATATATATATATATATATATATATATATATATATATATATATATATATATATATATATATATATATAATATGTATATATAATGTAGACAGTTACTTTTACTGATTTTTGACCAACACAAGTTTGGTTGGTTTGTTTCA